ATATATATATATATATATATATATATATATATATATATATATATATATATATATATATATATATATATATATATATATATATATATATATACATATATATATATATAGAGAGAGAGAAATATGGATAGGTAGATAGATGGGTAAGATAGAAAGATAAACTATTGTTCTAATTCAATTTCTTTTTTCTTGTAGCAAAAGTAAAATTTCAGAAAAATAAACCAATATTATGCGCAGTATGTCATAGAAGGCATTAATTTTCAACCAGCAATGATTGTCCTCTTACGTAGTTTTTAATTCAGTTGATGATTTTTTCTCGCGAGATTTCTTGTTCTGTTTTCTCTTTTCCTTTCTTATTACGTGATCAGAGTACAAGATATCATAATCTTAACGCTTAAAATAATACATGAATAGTTAATTTGATTATTTGAAAATGATAATAGAAAATGGAGGATATCTATCATACTATGGTCCAATTTGATCGATTTTTGCAATAAAAAATTGTATATTTCATCGTATTCTATTTTAAATCTGTCGAACTTTGTAGAAACGTAGAAGTAAATCTCTTCCCAACCAATTCGATGACCCACCCATTTGTTTATAGCTTTTTAATTAATTCAACTATCATTTGTAACGTGGCTTCTTAATAATGTACTTTACGCTATAGTTGAGCTATAATTCGTTGATGATATATTACACTGTAGTTATTACTCATGTGCTTATATTCCGATTAAGGTTCAGTCCTGTGTTTTGGATCCGTTCAGTAGATCTGAAAGGTGAAAATTAATACCTATTTTCCTTTTTTCTCACATGTTGATGTAAGAGTTCTTTTACATTGTTCAATAATCAAATATCTGTCTGTGTGGGTTGTTCTGGTAAGTGGAATGCAGACTAAATAGTTTGGTTTTCGAACTGATTTCAAACCTGAGGTAATATCTCTTTCTCCTCTTATCTTTTTAATCTCGACCCTAGACATTTCGTTTTTACCACTGATCGGATCAAATCGCTTTAATGGGAGAGTTTCATAGTTTCGTATTGTCTTTGACAGTTTATATCGATTATTAGCAAATCTAACGATAATTTTGCTTTTGAAAGTCGGTCCATTAATGCTAGAATGTTGTGAGGCTGTTTTGTTCGTTCTTTTGGATCCGGAAGTTGTCTCAAAGTATTTACCACAGGCCGATTGAGTAAGCAGAATCCATCCCTCACACTGGTGCCTTCATTTATCGATCACTCTCCACATCTGATCATGACATGTTTTGACAAGCCTATTATCGATTTTTGCGCTTTTAAACAAATAAATAATTGATATTTCAATTTTCTGGTGTTGTAGCGGAAGGAGGCGACAGACGAAAGAGTGTCTTACGATCAAAAGAACGTGACGCTTTGAAACGGAAAATCGAACAGCGTCCCTCCAAGCAAAAGCTTGTCACACAACACATCCTACTCACTGGTAATTTTTTCATTTGGTTCAAGTTTGTTTGATTTGTACAAGAATATCGTTGTTTACCTGAACTTGGTCTCTGTTTGTTCCATTTTTTTCTTTATGTAATCCTGCCCCGAATTGATTAATCAAGTAATTTTCAACTTTGTTATAATATGAAAAGTGATTCTTTTTGGCAGTTGTCAATCCTAGATTTGAATGCATTTTGCTTATTGAATATTACGAATTTCAGATTTACGAATTTTATTTTTTGCTATTAATTGGTTTGTCACATATCCTGTAATAACTAGGCAAATCTTTCTTCGCTTTACTCTTTACCGTAAACATTTGAAAGTTGCATATGTAAGTAGTTTTGCTTTGATTTGTCCATTTTTTGGTTTTCGGTAGAATGGGCAAAAGTGATCTCCGATTCTTTCGGAAAACTTTAATTCCACTTCTATTTGAATTAATACTCCCGGTAACTGGTGAAGGAAATACGAATTTTTATTTGTACTTCAGTTTATTATTGAAAATATATTTTCAATTTTTTTTGAAATTTTCATGTTCAATTGCTCGTGACTTCTACATTTTTTAGCTGTAGTTTGACCCCATAAATTCATTACTGAATTCTCTCAAAACATTTCATATATTTCCCATCAAAATCGGCTGGTATTTAGTGCAGCTTATTCACCTTGCTTTGGATTTTGATGAAGCAACAGATTTTGTGGCACTGTTGGTTGTCAAAGTCTTGCTTTTTAAAAAAAAGTAAAAATATGTTATAGTAATTAAATGTCGACATATTATAGCGTCTAATGCGGATCCATCTATTCAGCGGAAGGCCGAGGAGCTGAAACGCTGTAAGCTGAAAGACGATTTGAACAAAAAATTGCAACATCGACCTGGTCCACTCGAGCTGATCACCAAAAAAATTTTACAAGCTGATGCGGAGCTGGAGCAAGCAATACAAGGTTATTCAAGTTTTTTTGAAGCAGGGTTATTGTGTATCATATCGGTAGATGGTTGTGCTGTTCAAAACCGCAAAAGCCGTTGTGGTTTGAAGTCGTGGTTTTAAAAGCAGTATTTTTCTATGTTCAAAGTTTTGAAAAAATTTCAAGATCTAAAAAATAAGTGAAACTTGTAGAATAAATATATCGAGGAACTGTCATACCATTAGCTGCTAACAAAGAAAAAAAATTTTGCTCTGATTAATTGGAGTAGCTTCAAAATCTTTCTTTTCTTTCTTTTTAGAGGGCCGTTTGTTGTTCACGAAAACTACCCAAAGCAAAGTGGGTAAAAACGAAACGAAGCAATCGGGTAATTTCATCAATTTTTTCATGAAAATTTTCATTTTTGATTGCTTGTTTAATTATAGCGAAATAAATGGAAAAGGTGTACTCATCATGCTGCTGTTTGAAATATGCACAGATAGCTTATTAATATAAAATACGCAGCTTTAATTTGATTTCACATCACCCATTTGAATTTTACATTCAAATATATTTTATGGTTTCTAAATAGTAATTGTATAGAGATGGAGGTAATATCCGCGACACCAGCATGTGCTTATCAAAGAAAACTACCAAATGTTTGTTTGGCCAAATCAAAAGTTCGTAAAAAAGGTTCACAGTATCGAACACCATATGACCAAACGTTACCATCACCGAATACTCGATCAAAGTTAAAATTGCAGGATTCTTCCGCTACAGATTACCAGGTATGCTTGTCATCCTGCTGACTAATTATTATTGTTGAAAGTTACAACTGATGGTTAGAGATGTGACTCATTAGTATAATTGCACAACATTTTAACGGATATTATAAGAGTATATGTTGATGCGTTTGTAAAAAGCTTAATTAGCATGAGGTATATTTGAGCAGATTACATGGGAAATTTGTTTGGGAAAGAGGAAACTTCATTATTTGATTCTAACAGATTATCTGAAAAGTTCATATTCGACAGGAAATAAACGTAAATTTTAGCTTTCATCATTTTACATTCGGTGTATTACATCATTAGATATGATGGCGTCACATCCAGATTTTTCTTTTAATTAGTTTCCGTTTGTTCAGAGTGCGGAAAGTATAAATGATGCATTGGTGACTCATGGTGTGTCTTACATTAGCGATAATGCTTCATTGTTAAATGTCAGTGAACAGGTACGTCCATTTTTTTTTTCGAATTTCTTGCAAAAATATGGTTTTGGTCGATTTGAACCGGAAATGACGTATATTCCGCTTACATCGCTCACTACGAATCGAAATCACGTTAAACTTAATAATGGACTGACACAGTTAATTTAAGTCGACACAAAGTTTAATGAGGATTTTTTCCTACATTGGGTTTAAAAGTTCTGTTCATTTCAGTCCTAATGAAAGTGTTAAGCAGTTTTTCGGATTTCTTTAAAAGATGTTTATCATTGGAACTATATTTAGTGGCAGAGAACATTGATTGAAATGCATCTTCTTTTGTTAGTGGAGGTGTATTTTTTTCGTTGGTAGAGATGATATCCTAAATATTTTTGTCCTGAACAGGCTGATGTTGTTTTTTCTTTTGAAGAATGAGAATACGCGTGAAGTGCAAAGTAGCTACGATCTTTTACTTCAACAGCAACAGTTGTTTTTACAATGGCAGCGTGAGGTTGAAGAGTCCCGAGCTCTCGGCATCTCACAGGTTACTCTAGAAATTTCATATTATTGACTTTTAAAAGTTCTACAAATGCATCGTAATGGCATAGGCCAAAAACTCTGCATTAATATAAGATACTCATGTTACATGAACAAACCGGTGTTAGCTCTCACGTGATATGATTTTTTATCTTCGGGTTTTAAAATTGGGATGACCAAATGTATTAAAACAATGATTTCCAGGAAGAGGAAGGTCGACATTGTCCAGATGAATGTGCTACATCGAGCGCAGCATCACCCTGTATGACAACATCCGCTCAAAGTTCGTTAGTTGGTACAGATTGTGTTCAGAATGGAATGCAGTCGGTAATATCCGAACAAATGCAAGAAACTCAGCAGTGTTGTCAGTGTTCCAGTGCTAATTTCAGTTATTCAGGGATTTCATCTGGAACCGTTAATTCTGTGAGTGATAATGAAAAGCCAAGAATCCGTCTTGCAGACTATCGCGTGCAAGATCTCAAAAATGAATGCAAAAAGCGTCAGTTGCCCGTTTCCGGTGCAAAGCCGCAACTACTGGAACGATTAAGACCATACGAGGAATCGATTTTGAATCACTGTAGTGGAACTGCGTTAATGGACTCATCCGATTTGATTTCCGTCTCATCTCCAGTTCTTGATGTCGCAACACAGTCGAGTCGGTTACCTCCTATTAGCAATGTTATTAGTGACTATGCTCACAAATATTCTGCTTCACCTTTGGTACAGCGGACTCAATCAGCGCAGCAGCACTCTCTTGTCGTACAACTGCCTCCAGCACAACAACATCAGCACCAAGTTTTGCATGTATTTTTTTCTGTCATCTATTTCGGGTAGAACTTGATTTGATCTCCTCCGTTGTGGTATGGAAATTGTGCTGATTGGGCAGTGCCGGTGCATGGTAGGACGTCTGCTGAGGGCTTGATTCAAATTCAGATATTGCTGCTGCTTTATGATTAATGCCAAGCACATTACTGTCGATTGATCAGTGGGAAAAATTTGATGATTGAGGAATACCATGAGATTTTTGGTAGGTTATGAACGGTCATGCGTGTGTTACTGTCAACAGACGTGTAGCATTAAATGATCACAAGCAGTTTGCATTCATGTGATTTAATAAATCATCAGTCACTGTTGGATAGGACTTATTCGTTATATAGTTTCCATTACATAAGTGATTAATCTCGAAACTTCGATGAAGTCATTCTGTTTCAGCTTGTTGATGCCAGTGGCGCAGTCGTTGCAACAGCAACGGTACCGCACAGTGTGCAGTGTTGTTGTATGTCGTCGGAATATCCGCTCACGACTAACATTACTTTGAACGGTACCACAAGCCAATCTACCAGTATCCGATCACAGCAGCAACTTTCAACTACCGCGGAAGTAACGCAAAATGTGCAGCAAGTGCAAACAGAACCTACTTTTAGTTTTGCACAACTTGGTTCAGGTGGACAAGTAAGTTGATGTATTTTTCGAATTTTTAGGAGTGTTTGGCTGAATTGTCGCGAAGAAGTTATAGTTCCAGAATCTGATTTCTATGCAGGATTTTGGGATTTTTGTGGTATTGGAATTCTGGGACCGGCACCATACTTCATTTCACATTTCTCCTCTTTTTATACGCAAAGCAATTATTTCCAGTTCACGTTGGTGCGAGCATCTTCTGTTGAACAGCAGCAAGCTTCTCCTCACGTTATGCACTCATCTCAGACTGGACAGCAGCAAACTCAACTGATGCAAGGCACGATGCCAGGGAATCCAGTTCTCAGTTGCCGCTTGCCTCGATCTACCAATTCTCCTGATCAGCATCTAACAGGAGCATCACATCAGGTGACTGAAACACCATCACGTAGCACTCAGCATCAACAGACGCAAGCACAGATTCAGCATACCGAAACTGGAACAGCTGCACGTTCTTCTGCCGTAAAGCAGCAAAACTGTCATAGTCAATTCCTTGTATGTAGTAACATTACGCGGCATAATTCAAAGGTAACTGCTATTTATGGAAAGTGAATGTTGCTGTGTGGTGTGATATGGAAATAGTGTTTATGGATGTTGTATTACAAATGTTACCTGAATGTTTTCATTATGATGTGAGACTAGTAGCAAATGGGACATATCTGAGCAGGCTGGAAAATATCTGCCGAAAGTTTCAACAATGTATTTCAACACGCACCATCTTTATTTTAGTAAATAAAAGTTGGGAATGGTCTGCCATTGTTTTCTCTATTCATTGCAAAGATTTCTATTGAATAGAATGCAGATAAAAGCAAATATAAAAAATTTTGAGAAAATGTTTTGGAAATTTTAAGGGGAAATAATCAAAGACCCTTTGCTTCGAGTTTTATAGCAATCATTGCTTAATGGATCTTGCTGTTTTGAAAAGGGATGTATGCCAAAAAACAGCAATACATTTGGTTCGTCGAAATTATGTCGCAGCGATTCTCTCTCCTTTTATTACGAACCGAGAGAGAGAGAGAGAGAGAGAGATCTTTTTGAGTAGTTTGGATGGTTTACGTGAACGAAGATCCATAAATATTGTTGGATAAGTTTGTAGTGAAAGATTTTGTTATGTTTCTAAATATGTGTTTATGTCAGCAGTTTTGGCTTGTTTGAAAGCTATAATTTGGATGAAGAAATTGGTTTCGTAAAAAGTAGTTTAAAGATAGATGAATAACGTACGTAACAGAAGTGCCTGTAATTGATCATTGACATTAGCCAGTATTTTTGAACAGTTGGCAATTCACACCCAAAAGTGTAAAGGACATCATTTGCTGTTTTAAATATCGTCAAGGGAGAAGAATAGCCTGTTGTAATGGTTTAAATTGTTTGATGTTGTAGTCTATTACACTTCCACAAATTCAGTGGCATTTCTAATTATAGCATTCGGATGCCACTACATTTTAATGCAGATATGCGTGTTATTGAAATGAGAGAATGTCCAATTGAAAGTAGGAAATAAGAAGTATATTCAGGATGGAACAACAGTATCACAAAATGCACTCTGTCCACCGCTGCAATCTGCACAGCCGCACTGTTCTCCCGTTACGGCAGATTCGGCCAGTGGTAGTTCACCGGACATTCCATCACCACCAAATAATTCTGAAAAAGCAACCGTAAAGAAATACCCTCCACATATTGATCCAAGTGACACGAGCGCTTTGTAAGCTACTTGGTTTCTTCATTTTTCTGATTTCATGGCAACCGAGGATGTTTTTATTCAATTTAAGAGTCGGTCTTACTTCAAATAGTTTTTTCGGGTACTTTGGCCAAAACTGTCCAGTGTATTGTAACAACATTTAACAAATTTATAATTTCTCTAGATTTATTCCATCTAAGATGAAGAGCAGACGAAATTCTTATTTGATATGACTCTCTGAAAGACCTTATTTACAGGCTGTCTGCAACGACATTGTCCATCCATGAAGAAATGTTGCGATTTCAGCAACGAAAAATTGAAGAATTGCAGAAGGAGCTGCATCGATCCCAGCAGCAGCTAAAACATCAACAGCAAGTAATCCTTGCTGCTAAGAAAGCACAGGTTTTTGCTTGAAAATTGCATATAACTATGTAAGGAATCATATGATTCATATGATAGGTATAGAAATGGCTGTAACAGTTGAAATTGTTATGTATCATCAGAATATTTAGTTTTGCAAAATCAGAAGACTGTGGTACAATCAGGAATTAAACTTCTACTCATCGGATATTTTGATTCTTCACTGCATTATTAATCGTATGAAGCGAATAGTTCGACATATTGTATGAATAAAAGTGTATTATTAAATTAGCACTGCAACCTTCATTTAACTGTTATTTCACTTTTACCAACTAATGAATGTTATGAGCAATGTTTTCAGCAAGCAAAAAGACAGGAAGACGCCCAACTGGAAGGTAATCAGCAGCAATCTGAGGCAGATTTGTGGCTTAATCAACTGGATATTAAACACTTGAATAAATTCCATATACAACTTTTCTTGCAGCATAAACTGCAGCAACAGCAGATGCAGGCTAGTTTTCCTCCTTCTTAACCCGACTTTTCGAAGACTTTCCAATGTCTTTATTCGAAAAGCTCAATTTCTGTAAGTTGATAAGTTAATTTGCTGTACTGAATTATTTCCACTAAATTTGGAAGGGAGTTTGAGCTCATCATGAAATCAAATTTCTCGTTTAGTTCTCATCATGCGCTACACATTCGCTCTCTCTACTACTTTCTAAGCTTAATATAGAGTTGATGTATCAGTTCTCATGTTTTGGTTATTTTCAGGCTCAAATAACAGAACAACAAAATTTGACTTCAACAGAAGAGAAACTGCAAGAAGAACTGCATGTTGAACAAGCAGTTCAAGATATCGTACGTTTGATCAAGCAGGATGCACGCACTGCACTTCTTATTGTCCAGTTATTAAGACGTTATCAGCTTGAAAGAAGTCATGTGTGTTTCATTGTATTGTTATTTTTCACAATTTCTGTTACGACAACTGCATTAATGTTTTTCATGCTGTGCTAGGGTAAACAATGGGACCATCGTCTTCCTCTTCCCTTCAGCAACTCCCTTCGCTCTTCATTTATCACATTTCTCCTCCGGATAGTTTTGAGTGATAAATAATGCTTCTGAGTCACACTGTACGTTAATATGTTCGGTTCATGTTTTCAGTTTTTTTTTTTTTTTACTTTTAAAGTGTTAGAATTTAAATATTTTTAGGCTGTGGCTGCAGCGGCTCAGGTCAGTGAGGATCCGAGTTGTGAGGCGGAAGTACAGCACAGTATGAAGGTAGATTCAAATACGCTTGAACAAGTAACAGTCGGTAATTCACAACATCAGTGTGTTTCATTAGCGGATATAGCCATGGAGTCAATTCAAAATACATCACAGCAAAAAACCGGTGTCATTGTTATCAGTGAAGATGAACTACAACGATATGTACCAACGAGCACCCATCACCCGAAACCTAAAAGTCGGAAGAAGAATAATGTTAACAGGCGAGTTCTCAAACATTCTTTGCTCTAGTGGTAACAGTAACATGTGGTTAATAATATTTAAAGTTATCTATCATTTAGGATGATTCATATTGCTTTAAAAAGAGATTTTGCCCAACAGGATGTGCTTCTTCATGATCTATTACTTCTTTTCCTAAAAAATAATTGCTGGAAGTTTTTGGTTAAAAAAGTCTTGCTGTATGAGATCGGTTCTTAGGAATGTTCCTGGGCTGTTGACAACTGTTTTTTGTTCTTGTTTCAGATTAAAAGCTGACAACACAGATTCACAGGAGAAAATATCCGGTAGTATTGATATGGAGGAGATTTTCAAACAGGTGTTGGAGAATGCCTCCAAAGCTTTGATGGAAAGTGATGCTGAAAAACGGTCAAAAACAAACGTGGTGTCGTCGCCGTCTTGTTTTTCTGAAGAATTTCAAATCCAGAAAACAATATCTAGCCCACTTCGACAACATGAAAGCGGTAGTTGCCGGATTGATGGCAAAAGCGGCAGTAATCCTACCGCATTACCAAGTTGTGACCAGCTAATTCAACCTTATGTGGTAAGATTATTTACCTGTAATACTATAATTTTCGTTTAATAACTTTTAAAGCTTGCCAAGAATTCTATTTTTTCTATTTTTATCTTTTTATAATATTGGTAACAGTTGCCAAAGGGATGGGTAAATGTATAAAAAACAGGTGAAGCAAGATATTCAGTTGATTGATAAAAATATGAAGTGAAAATATGAAATAGTTGTTTGTTAACTTTCAGCCTGTCCTTTTTTGGAAAATGGTGATAATATGAATGAGCACATCTTTCTTTTTCTTTTCTGATTCATTTTCAGGCCAAAACCCCATTATCTTCGACACCTTACAGCGCGAAACAGATGGAAACTAATATGACTGATACTCATTTTGAAGAACATGTTGAAGTATTCGAAGAAGGAGCTGTTGGTGCGCCACAAACTTTCCAGTATTCGAAAAACCAGGCTTTCGATGACCTAATGGATGTTTTACGTGATGATCAAGGTTTGGATTTGTTCACTGCTGAATGGTTCGCTAAAACAGTTACTTTTGCGTGCCTCAGGGAATAGATATTGCAGTAGAGTTTTCAGATTAATGTCGTTAGTAATTAGAGTTAAAATTTTCGTGTGAAATTGCCGTACTTTTTTAATTCCATTTTCCCGACTTTGAAAATATTGATATTGTTTATAACCATAAACTGATTTGTTTTTAGCAGGAGCTAATGACCTGAAGTCAAATAATCTCGATTTTGGTACAGGAACAGTTTATGGATCAGATGAGCTGGCAACACTGTTAGGTGATGACTGGTTCCGACATGACTGTGCAATACCAGCAACATCGGTTTGTTCACAGGCTGCCGAGCAATACACAATTAACAGCGTGATTTTTTAATTCTTTTTCTCACTCTTTGACTCTTAAATGTAAATTGATTTGATATTCCTTCAAATTTCTACAATTTCTTTGCAAAAAATGACGATGTTGTGAATAATTTCCGCATTTTTATATATTTGAAAGGATTTTGTTCCAGCCGGATGTTCTTAATGAAAAGACGAATAACCTAGACGAGCGGACGTCAAACCAGAATGATCCATTAATGGTTTCCTTTGATCACAACCAAGTTGTAGATCAGGTTCGTGGATTTCTTTTGAATTTCTTTCGCGACACTGCAACATTACATTTCTTAAAGGTATATGTGTCGTCTTATCCTCCCATCACTTGAGCAGTTGTCTAATGTATTGGACTGTAGTTTCAGAACATTGGTATGGATTGGCTGGACATGATGTTACCTTCACCATCTCCGGATATGGATACCAGTGCGATCGATCCAATCCAATGAAGTATTAACTTCAAAAGAAAGATGGTCCTGATGTCTTGCAGTTTATCTTGCAAAACCGGTTCGATTCTTGCCGTAGCTTTACATTCAACAAATTGCTCATTCCGTTGGTGCTTTTTTTTGTATTTTTTGCACTATTTAATATGTATAACATATGCTCTTATCTTTATTCCGAGTTAGTCGTTTCCGCTAGATGTAAACCGGCCCGAAGACGTTCAAACTGTTAAATGTTGAAATATTTTCATTTTTATTTAATTGATACAGTGTAGTCTAATATGGGTTTCAACGCCTTATACAGTGTCTCGTAACTGTAAGTGAATAATTTAAATTTTTAAATTTGTTTCCACGAATGGTTCAAATATGAAATGCTTACATGAACTACCATAATTGGCATGTTTGTTTGCAATGGGTTTTTAGTTTTCTGAACATTTCAATTTGTTATCTAAATACCGTGTGTGGTTACGTGAAATATGTATTTGTGTTTATTGAGGAATATGCCATAGCAAGCAGTTAGACATTATTTTTATTTATTTTATTTTTAATGAAGTTAAAGTTTAACATAATTAAACCTCAGGGAAAACCATCAAAATATGACTAGGCAGAGTTATTACAGAGGTCACATCACTACAACAGATAAAGTATAGATTAAAATGTTTCGATGATACCTCATAATTGTTCTCGTACTTTTTTGTCTTCAAAGCCGATAGAACCCATTATATGTTACAAAATGCCAACTGTGATTACATGCATTACTGCTGCTGCTACGGGGCATTTGTTTGTCGTGACTTTTTGCATCACGTTATTTCTTATTGCTCCGTATGCTATGCCAAAGATTTTTGTTAGTTTAGCATTCGTAGTATTGTTTTCCTCATTCGTATTATTCAGAAATGTTCAATTTTTCTTTTTTTTTTTTCCCATCTCGTCTCAGTTATATTATTGATGATACAACCTTGGTTATCAGTGATGTCTTGATTCAGTTTTTTTCTTGTGGCTGAAAATTGATTCCAAAAGTCCACATATAATTGGAATTTTCAAAGAAACTGGGATTAATTAAAATTAATTCAAATTGTGGAGTGGAAGGAGTGTTCGTATTTTAGTCATTGAATTTTGAGTGAAATTACTGCTAGTCATTTGCGTACGCTAACTGTACTAATAAGTTTGAATATGTGCATTTCGGTACTTGCTTTTTACTCTTTTGAATACTTTTTGAACTGCATTTATCCGGACAGCTGCGCTACTTACTACATCATCAAAAGAGTTGCCTTGTACTTTTTTCGTTGTTCTTTCATGATTGATTTCGTTTGTTAAATTTAACTGTACTAGTAACATTTTTCACTGTGCCAAATTATTATTTAAAAAACTGTGCAGGTTCAATTTAGAGTTGTTTACAAAATTTAATTATTTATCCTTCATATTTGATGTTATTGTATGTGTGTTATTAGCATCTGGTGTACTTTTTAAAATGAACGTAAGGCGAACGCATACCATGGGATCATATGTAACGGAAACAAATTACACTGTTTTCATTCGATTAGCGACACCATTTTCGGGGGTTGTGCGGTATCTTAATATATTTGCGCAATGTGGTATGTTAACTTTTTTTTTGTTTTTTGAATGTAATAAGCGAAATGGTGTGTTTTGGAATGAACTGTGGATGTGATATACTTAGTTTATGGGTGATCTTGGAAAACGCGTCCCTGACTTTCATCGTCCTTGTTCTGAAATCTGATAAGTTTTAAAGGAATTTGTGAGTAAATTGAATTTTACCATAACTTTAGCGAAAGCTTTCATGATAACTGATTAAAATTTTGTGTTAGGACATGATAAATGCTCCAAGTCCTTCCATTGCATTCCTTATTTCATGATACAGCATATCCGCTTAAGGTCTCCCATAAGCATCTAATAATGAGATTAGCTTCTAGTATCAGGAATTTAGTTCACCCAGTAATCTCTCTCCATTCGTTCTGTTTAATTTTGCATTCCCCGACGTATATGTTTTGACGCATATTATTACATTATTATTACATCTTATGCAAGCCTCTTCTTGTTTTAGTAGAAGTCGTCTAGTGTTCATGATTATAATCCAGTTTTCCATGGTCTTGGTTGCTAGATTTATGGGTGTTACTCTCAACTCTTAAACGTGACAGCATCAGCCCAGTTTTTGGCTGTGCCAATTGGCACTATGAAATATTTACCAAATGTCAGGTAAAATTGATCTTGCCAATTTGCTAATTTGGGGCTTCTGATGGAGAGAAACATCCATATTATATATATATATATATATACTTGTGCAACTCCAGTAACCGGCATAACTGAGCTTCTGAGAAGGATATATATACCCGGTTAGTTACGCTCAGGCCTGTTATATATTATGTAACATTTCATTCCTCAGTAATTGCTTTTTTAAATAATGTAATTTCCGGACATATTTCGTGCTCGGTAACAATTAAATCTTTTATTGATCGGGAGTGTTTTTTGATTCAGCGCGATTTGTCCCTCCCGCTTCTTCCTTCCGATTTCAACGCGCTCTCTGTGTTAAGCTTACGTGGGACAAGCAGCACCAGTAACTTTGAGGTGCACTTCTGATCCTTGCAACAAATACTCTTATAAGCATAGTTTTTCTCAGATTCGACAACAGTACAGAACGGGATACAGGAAAAGGGAAAGTCTAGTTCTACACATTTCTTATGGTAGAAGTATAAATGGAATCATACGTTGTCTAGAGAGTTTCCAAATCCCCCAAAAAATGATGTATGCAGCACGTTATCTACAACAGATATGTAAGTATACAGGAAAAACATTTAATTAAAGAGCTAAAAATCAGAAATTGGCTCGGGTATTTGAGGAGGCTGCTGATAAATATATAACTTTCTTAGCTACTACAGCCCCATTGTTTCAAAGAAATCAATTTATCGTTAAAATGATAAGAACTGTTCTCTGATATTATTGCTTATTTTTGGAAGCGGTTAAATCAAATCCAAATTAGCTTGTTCAGATAAATGGCTTGAGCTTATGCATCAGTTAGCTTATGCATCACTTTTTTTTTTTTCTGTAACGTTCGAAGTCTACTCTGGTATAATCAAGAGCAAGACAGTGATGGATGAGATATATTGGAGAGGGGTTTCGAATTTTCTATGTCTAAGATTTCAGCATTCATCATGTCACACAAAGGAAATGAACTGTAGGGTAAACACGTATCCAATGTATCTGACGTTTTCGTTTATTGGAAAATGTTCGCGGATTTGATGCGTGGGGCCATACAAAAGTTTTTCTTGAAAGGATGAAAGATACGGGTAAGTTAGCCAGTTTGTTCCACTTTGGAGAACTTTGTATCCAGTTCATTCCATTGTAGGATAACCCCAAGATGAAAGTATGGTGCAAATGTTAGGTATTGATGCAAATTCGCTCAATCTTCAATGTAGACACCAATATTTCCGGGTTGTAGCAAAGATGTACGTCAAACTTGGTGAGATCTTCATTTGCTGGTTACGGTATTCAGGGAAATATTTCGTGTAATTCATACAGTATTTTCTTAAACTGCTTAAAAGCAAATGAGTTACGTGAAATTGCAAGCATCCACAAGTTAGGTATTTATGCGATGTATATATATATATATATATATATATATATATATATATATATATATATATATATATATATATATATATATATATATATAT